GTGCTGCCCCTCGCCTTCGGCAAGTACTTCGCGTCCGTGTCGGCGCACGTCAGCATCTGGAAGGTGCCGGTGTCCTACGCGCACACCGGTGAGTGCGGCGACCGGTCGTGGGGTGTTGTCTCACCTGGAATGCCGCCCAGGCTGTTAGCCGGGGAGGGGCGAGCACGGGAGGGGAGGGGGCCTCAGGGAGGGGAGGGCCGCGTCGGGCTGGGGTGGAATCCCACGGGAAGAGGAGGGCTGAAGAGTTTGGAGGGTCTGCCAAGCTGTCTCAGCCCGCAGAGAAGTTGGGACACGAGCTCCCAGGGTGGACCCCGGGTTAGGGCGGCCAGCTGAGCGCCCCATTGCTTCTCTTTGCAGTCAAGGCCACCATGCCCATCTGGGTGGTCCTCCTGTCCCGGATCATCATGAAAGAGAAGCAGAGCACAAAGGTAACCAGGAGGACTCTGGGCAGGTGGGGACTCCACGGGCTTCCAGGAAGTTGCCCAGCTGGTGACGTGGTCCAGGCTCCTGGCCTGCGGGCTGCCAGGCTTCCTGTCAAATAAGGAAGTCGGTTTAGATGCCTCTGGTGGCCCTTTTGCTGTTAATTTTCTGAAGTCACCCTGGGAACAGTGGTGTGTGTGTCCCCGAGTTGCTTCTCCCGTGTGGTCTCGTGGACACTTCCCTCTCTCTCTAGTTCCACTTGCCTCCCCCCTTTGATCTCCTACCCAAAGTGTCTGGTAGATGATGACTTGGTCCTATCTTGGTCAAGCACCCATTCCCCTCTAGCGGGACCGAGTGTGGAACATCTGACTTCGTGCTGGGGTGGAGTTTCACTTCTTTACAAGAGTCAAGCATGGTCAGGTTGGATTTTTTTGGGGTCAGAAGTGAGATGCTTGTCAAAGGAGTCTGATTTTGGAAAAATTCATCAGTCTTTGAAATAAAAGCAGCCAAGAATTGGGAATGTTTGAGAATGGAAGTTAAAATAACAGACAGAACCCAGAACTGTATAAGGAAGGTGCTTTGGGCACAATCCAGGGTCTGTTCCATGTGCCAAGCCAGGGTATTTCCTGCCTTGGGGTGAGAGAAGCTGTGGCTTTAGCCTGAGACAGCCTTGCCCATCCATGCCCTTAAGTAGAAGTAGGACTCCTGTTGTCCCAGCTGGAATTCATTTCATGCTGGACAGAGCGCCTCTTTTCTACTTGGTTGGTTTCTGGCATCCTGTATTTTATGTAACTAAGAGCAGCAGTGCCTTGGATCAGCTTATAGAAATTGGGCCCACCCAAGCCAGTTTGGCTCAGTGGGTAGAGTGTCAGCCTGCGGCCTGAAGGGTCTCGGGTTCAATTCCGGTCAAGGGCACATGCCGGGGTAGCGGGCTCTGTCCCAGTGGGGGTGTGCGGGAGGCAGCCAGTCAGTGATTCTCTCTCATCATTGATGTTTCTGCCTCTCTCTCCCTCTCCCTTCCTCTCTGAAATCAATTTTATATACATACACACACACACACACACACACACACACACACGTGTGTGTGTGTTTTTTAAAAAGAGAAATTGGGCCACCTCTGGCTGATTTTTTATTCCAGCCTGTCTTTTTCCCTGCAAGAACTGGGTGTGTTCTGCTGCCTGCTCCCAGGGTGATGTCAGCTGTGGCTTGTCTCCTGAGTCGGAGTTGCTCAGGAGGTGTGCAGCTGCATCACTCGATATCACAGCGTGTTTATCAGGTTTCCCCGTTGTACAGGACATTGGACCTGGCTTGGACGAGGAGCTGGAAACTTCACCCAGTGAGGAAACAGTAGGGAATGACTTGGGCAGGAGTCTGATAATGAAGGAATAAGTATGGATCCACCCTGTGAGGAAGATAAAGCAGGTCATTTCAGATCTCAGGGGAGGAAACGGGACTTAAAGGGGAGAGTCATGTGCCTGAGGTCCATAGCCAGTAGTGGGGAAGCTGGAATTCAGAGCCCTTGCTGTGCCCTGGGTGGAGGTGTGGGGGGCAAGGAGGTACTGGGGGGGGGGGGGTTAACCAGCCACTCCTAAAATCTCCACAGTACTTTAAGAAAATCCTTTGTAGAAGAGAGAGAAGCTGGG